CCGGGGAGCTGCTCTGCTCGCGGGCTTTTCGGGAGGGGGGTGGGGGAGGGCGGCCCGGGCGGGGAGGGGGTCAGTCTGCGGCCGCAGGAGGCGAAATTGGCCCGGCGACGCGGGCTGGGACGGCCGCGGCGCGGCGCGGCGGCTGGGGGCCCCCAGGGCCATGGAGCAGGGGCGACGATGATTAGTAATAACTGTTTATAACACAGGGACCGCCTCTCACCTTGGGTGACAGGCAGACACACACACACACACACACACACACACACACACACACACACACATCATGCACACACATGCACACATGCACACACACACACAGGCACGCACTCACAGTCACACACACAGTCACACTTATCACGCACAAAATCACAAGCACTCAATCAACCACGCCGCCACAACCCCACCCCCCAGGCGCCCCCGACGGCGCCGGCGGCGGCGCAGACGCGGATGACCTCTACATAGACGAGGAGCAGCTGCCCGGCGGCGCCGGCTACGCGGCCGCGTACGCCAAGCTCGCAAACGCCTGCGGCCCCGAGCGCCCCGTGCTGGCTGACATCGCCGACCCTGGGCAGTACGCGGCGAGCAGCGTCGCGTCATTTGTGCAGCGGGGCGGCGCGCCCGCGTGAGCGCGGCGGCGGCCGCCGGGGGCGCGGGCGGGGCCGGTTGCGGGTGCGGCGCGTGTTTCGGCCGGTTCACCCATGCGCCGTCGCTTGTCGGTCCAGCGTGCGGCGGCAGGGGCAGGGCCCGTGTCGCTCGCTCTGCCGGCGGGCGCCGCAGCACGCTCTGCTGACCCCTTGTTTCCGAGCAGCCGCGGCGACGGCCAGCCTTCTAAGGGGTTGCTCCGTCTGGGCGTTGTGCGTGATGCTGTGTTGCTGTTTCGCACCCCTTGCGCCCCCTCCCCACCCGGCGGGTGGGCCTGACCCCCATGGCTAGCTGGCTGGCCGCCCGCTGTGGCCCTGGCCGGCTGCCACCTGCGGCCTGTCGCCTGCGTTTTTTCTGGCCTTTTTCCGGCCGGCGCTGCTGGCCCAGTGCATGCACCCGTTCACACCTGCATTTTGAATGCCGTCACCTGCACAGCCGGCCCCGGCGCAGCCCGCCCGCTGGGCGCGCGCGCGCCCCTGCCACCCCAGGCAGCAGCACAGCGGCCGACGGCGCCCGCCCGTGCCATCTTTGTTACTCTCTGTCTGTCGCGTTGCCGCGCCCTCGCGTTTTACAGCAGCATAACCCGCAGCGCGGTGCCTATGCGCGCGCGCTGCCCCGCACCGCGCATGGTTCAACCGCCAGCCTCCTAACCGGCCCAGCGCAGCCCGCGCACAAACAAGCAGAATGAGTGCCTCGCCCTTTGACTTGCTGCGCTCGTTTGTAACCTGGTGACCCTTTGTCTTGTCTTCATCGCCCTGTGGTGGCGCTTGATCGTGCACGCGGGGGCCCAGCCTGCCCGGCCGTTGTCGTGGTGCAGAGGGGTGGGAGCAGGCAAGCCGGTGCGCGTGGGGTTGCGCAGGGGCGCGTGGTAGGCGCTGGGAATCGTGGTTGCAGCTGGTGCTTGTTGGTTGCGGCTCGCGTTTTGTAGTTGACTTCCCACCGACCGACCGATTGGGGCCCAGCTGAATGGCCAACGCATGCATGGGGCTCGGCCTCATGCCAGAAGTCTGGCGCAGACGCACAGTGACTACGCGGCAGATCGGCCGCACAGGCAGCAGTTGTGGGCGTAGCGGGTGCGCAGCAGCCAAGGGGCAACAAACGCATGCAACAAAACGGACATAAGGCGCTGCGCCGACAGGCAGATGCACGAGTCATTACGTACACGCTGCCGTGTGCAGGAGGAGCCCAGGCGCCATGCGGCTGTCGCAGATGGCGGCCTACCATGGGGGCGGGCCGGCGACGGCCGTGGAAAGAAACAAAGGGTGCGTGGGCTGCCGAGGCAGGGGTGCACGCGTGATGGCGGCTCAAAATGCTGCTGTACAGAGGGAGGCGAGCACACGGGTACAGCGCTAAACATGTAATTTGCCAAGGTGACACGCATCATTCTACGCGGGGTCTGATGAGCTCGGGGATGGGTGGGTGGGTTGAGGAGGGCTGGGCAGTCTGTGCACTCTTGGGCACTTGGCCTATGCACAGCTCGGCAGTGGAACAAGACCGCAGGTGACAGGGAAGTTCCAGATTCGGCATGCAGGAGGGCGGCGTGATTGTTTGTCATGCGTGCCCCAGCGTTTGTTCACTGGCTTTGTCCGGGTCACCAGGCTTGGGCGGGCGCGACTGCGGTTGGGGGGCAGCGGTGGGCCTCTCCCAAAGCGCCCGGCGAACTTTGGCATTGAATCCGTGGTGGCCGAGCAAAGCTTGACGCTGCAGATGCGCGCCCCTTATTGCTGGTGCTGCGCCCCCCCCCCCAAAAAAATGTGGCCCAACGCTTGTTGGGGGCGCGGGGGGCCATCAGAAATCCCGATAGCGCCGCTTGCCCACGCCGGGAGCCGCGCCCGGCGACACAAGCGCCGCCGCCCGCCAAGCGTCGGCATCCGCTGCACCCCAGGGCTCCTGACGCACCCCCTCAGCCGCCGCGGCCGTGGCAAGCTTGGCGCCGCCGCCGCTCGCCGCGCCGTCCTGCCGCAGAGGCCAATCGAACGCGCAGCGGCGCTTGAGCACGTTTGTTGCGGCAGCTATCGGCAGCGCCACTGCCAGTGTGAGCAGGAGGCTGGGCCACAACAGGAATCCCCATTCCAGGGCCTGCGCCGCCTTGTTATCCATCGCCAGCAGCACCAGGGCGCCTGGGACCAGGGTTGAGGGGAGCAGTGGCCGTGAGATGAGAGCAGCGGGCGGAGCTGGGTATGCGGGCAATGGGCGCGAGCAGGGCGCGGCACTCGAAGGCAAGCAGCGGGTGCGAGCGGGACTGCTGCCTCGGCTGCACCTGCCCGGTCGGGCCCTGCGCACATCTCACAGTTGTGATATCACCCCTCACGAATGCCTTAGCACCCCTTCCTCCGGTCCTCAAGGTGTGGCAAAGTGGAAGTTGAGTGACTTTGCGTCAACTTCACACACATATCCCTGCGACAGGGGTCAAACCCACTGGACACGTCTGAAAGGCAGCAACCCTGCCCCCCTCCCCCC